CTGCATCTACCCCCGTCCAGTCCTGTTAGAATTTTATAAGTCTCTGTGCGATCCCCCCCCTCATTCGTCTCAACTCCAGTGAAAACAATCCTAACCTGGTCAATCTCTCCTCATACGTCGGACCCACCATCCCCGGAATCAGCCTGGTAAACCTTCGCTGCACTCCCTCGAGAGCAAGAGCATCCTTCCTCAGAAAAGGAGACCAGAACTGCACACAATATTCCAGATGTGGCCTTACCAAGGCCCTGTACAACTGCATGAACACATCCCTGCTCAGGTTCCTAGGAGTGACAATCACTTCCTGGTCCACCCATGTGGACGCTACGGTCAAGAAAGCATAAAAACGCCTCTACTTCCTCAGGAGCCTAAGGAAATTCAGCAGGTCCATTAAGAATCTTACCAATTTTCATAGGTGCACCGTAGAAAGCGTTGTATACAGATGCATCATGGCTTGGTACTGCTCTGCCCAGGACCGTAAGAAACTACAGAGAGTTGTGAACACAGCCCAGTCCATCACACAAGCCAACCTCCCATCCATTGACTCCATCTACACCTCTCACTACCTCGGCAAGTCAGCCAACATCACCAAAGACCCCTCCCGCTCCGGTTATAATCTCTTCCAAATTTTTCCCTCAGGCAGAAGATACAAAAGCTTAAACACACATACCAACAGATTCCAGAACAGCTTCTTCCCCGATGTTATTAGACTTCTGAATGGACCTCTCAAATTTCAAATTTAATGTTGATCTTGCACTTCGTGTACCTTCTCTGTAGCTGTAACATTGTATTCCTCGCTCTGTTCGGTTATACTAATGCACTTTGTATGGCATGATCTGCCCATACTGCAAGCAAATTCTTCACTGTACCTACGTGCATGTGACAATGTTAAATCAAATCAAATCAAATAAGTAACAAGGATTCATCCGCATATTAGAACGGGATGAGACCGTTCAGCGTCTCAAGTCTGTTCCACCTTTCAGTTAGATATACTTTGAACTGTGGACTTTGATGAATTTCCTTAATAAAAAATTTATCCATTGCAGATTTTAAATGAACAACTGATCCAGCATCCATTGGTGTTTGTGGAAGATAATTGCAAATTTCCATAACCATTTGTGTGTAGAAATACTAAGAGGACATTCTGGCCCTAATTCTTTGACTATTTCCCTCTCCTTCTCCTCCCTCAGTTCTAGAATCTCCAATCATTGGAAATAGTTTACCTTTAACTTCCCTGTCTT